TGTTTTATATTTGCTGCCACTCAAAAAAATGTTGTTTTGATCTATCCATAAATTGATAAGTTGTATTATGGAGTGCACCGTATGTTTGTTACGGTAGCAGATCTCCAAATGGCTGGTGTTGTGAGAAGGATGAGGGGGGAGTCAAGGCCGGCCGCGTGACATAGATCCCGCCACATTCACCTTCCGTCCGCCGGTCGCCGCCGTCGCCACCACCACCTGCCCACTGTCAAGGCTGCCTTACGAAATTTAGCCGACTGCATATATCTAGTTATACCAGATCCGCTTTCGAGAGATCATGTCGCAACCATCCGACAGGCGATGATGACGACCTTCGGGTGTCTCGCAGGACAAATACTGCCCTGCAAGTAAAAGAAAAGGAATTATCCTTGGTAGTAAAGATAAGTTCCGTGTTCAGTAAATATTGCTGACACTAGCTTTTACCTTATCCGTCACGGTATTCCCCGCTGATGATACGCCTCCTTACATGGGCATAGGTTTAATTTTGGCGGAAAAGAAATGCGGAAGCTTTAAGTAATAAAGAATCTTTAGTTCAGTTACCGGGGTGACTGACACTACAACGCCTTGAAATAAAATTTAATATTATAAACCATATATAACTTTAATATTATATTGCGTTTTATATCTTGTATGTTTAGGTAATGACTTTAAGATCCTACATTTTTAGAAAAAAATGACAGCTGGTCCAATAGATTAGTGATTCTAGAGTAGTTCGAACTTGCATTACAATGTATGGGTGTAAATGAATTACAGAATAGAAACTACAACGCATTCGGAATTAAGTTGGCGTGAAATCGTAGAGATTTTTCTGGTAAATTATTCATGTAGCTCACGTTGGGCAGACTTTCAACGCGTTCTTGTGAAAGCCTTTCACTCTTATCATGGGAGTTGCATATATTTTTGAACACAATTAACATGAATTGTAAACCTGAATACAACTTATTTATAAAATGGATATGTGATTATTAATTATTCGTACACAAATTGTTCAAATAATTTTGGGAATTTGAAAATTCTTTTTGTTTATTATCTGCTGCATCAAGAGTGCCACATAACAACGACTTTTGGATCAACAACTTCCGTGCGATTATTGAATCCGTGGCTCACTGCGCTACAGATGATCTTCCATCCACTGCGCCAATCGTGCGCATTTTTATTTAAGTAACATTTTTTTAGTGTCATATTACTAGGATTATAAAAATAAATATAAATGTCCGGTATAAAAATAGTGATAAATGATTCAGGAAGTTTCGCCAATTGTGCCTTACCAATCTTTTAATGTCCAGTCACGTTATTAAGAATTGCTGTGAATATTTTCCTGTAATTAATGTAACATGAAACTGGTTCACGGATGTGAGTGTCATGACACATCGCGAGCGTATCGTCAATGCAGTTGTGCCGGTCCGGCTCGCACACGTAACGGATGCGTTTTTAGCCCGGTTAGCGTACAGAAAGTGTGCTAACGCGTGCACCGATTTGCGCAACCAAGCGCGTACGATACGCGCGGCCACTCCCGTATGTAGTCCCGTTGGTTATGTTAGATACTAATCTACGCATCATTCATTTTTGTCTAAATTTCATACACATACCTACATATATGATTTGCAGAATTGCGGTTCCTTATTTGCTACAGAGGCAGTAATCATTGTTTGTCTAAATAGGCGATAAAATCTGGCTTCACTTAAAGCCTTATTATTATAATATGTATAATAAGTAACGTTTATACACTGGGTCAATCCTTATATACTTACTTACATATAATGTACAGACAGTAAAATAATCCTAAAGATTGAGCTTTGTACCGAGACACCCAAAACAAAAATAGGTTCTAAACCCTAAAAAGAAATAAACATATTTATTCTGGTGTTCAAGCGGACTGGACTGAGATTATTTGCTTAATGGAATAAAAACATGCAACTACAAGATATATGCCATTACTACTTGCGGACAATAATCATGTGATCGTAAATTGCGACTGACTAGTAAATCTGGTTTACGATATTCTTTTCATAATTTATTGTTTCAAAACTTTTTTGTAATTATAACCACAGCAAATTCCACAATATCGTCTACAGTTAATTTGAAAGCGTACGTTGGAAAATAAGTCAAACAATTTTATTGGCAACTAGCAGACCGCCTCTGCTTCGCACGTATCCGACTATCCCGGTGTCAATCATTTGTTTTGCAAACGAACTTCCAGGGCTTCGAAAGGATTGTTAATGGCCGCTATTCTCCTTTACTTTTCTAAAGTTTTCTTTCGTAAGAACCTACTCTACTAATAATAACGAAAATAACAAAAAAGGAATCGGCAAAATTCAGGTCCAGGCGTTATTGAGTTATGCGCTTACTAACACATTTCGCGATTTATTTTTATATTATAGATCTGGTTCCATGTGGAGTAGTACATTACGAGTCGACTGCTAAACTGTACATGTTTCATATAATGTGAGCTGAATGAGCTGTAGTTACAACAAAAATCAATGTATTGTTTGTATGTCATAAAGATTTTTTTTCTTTGAAAAACGTTGCCCACACTAGGATTGTCTCTTGTGTCGTGGGTGCATATCACACCCAGACTCGGAACAACAATTTGTAGATTACACAAAGAGTTGTTCCGTGCGAGAATCGAAACCGCGATACGTCGCGCGGCAGCCAGTTGACCAGCCACCGCGCCAACCGTGCATATTGATTTGATTGTATAACACTAACGGTTAAATTATTACAAACCTAAATAGGACATTGTTGTGGAAATGATACTAATTTATGTTGTAAACGTCAGGTGATATGTCCCCCTTCTGATCAGAAACTTGTCGGGTCACGCCTTATTGTTACGTAAAATTACACCAACGTTCCATGGTTCATGGGTGTACCTATACGTAATAGGTGAAAATTCCGACAAATGTTTATACACCTAGTGCCAAATATATTTTTGACGTATTTCAGCAAAGACATCCGTAGAAACGGAATTCAATTTGGACTTTGTTCATGCGTAATATATTGTCTAATATTGAACAAAAATTGAATTTTGTTTAGTTTTATTGGTAGTACTTATTTCTTATCACATGTCTGGTATCTGGAGGAAATAGCGTCGTAAAGATTGGATGTTAATTATGTACTACCATTTTCTTACCGAGCTTAATAAAAAAGCCAAATAAAATCTGTCGTTTTATTTCTTATAATGAACCTAATGAACAGCGTTTGAAAGCAGTCACGTGCGTGTATCAACACAAATAGGCGAAGGTACCAATTAGGTCCATCGATATTTAATTATCAAACATTGATTGTAATACTTAGTGTGTCATTGGCTTGAAACCGGACCCGTCGCCGGATGCCTTCATTCATACTACCTTATGGAAATACGCATCGCGTCATCGACCAACCACTTTCACATTTTTTTATTTCCTCTACTTAGACAACGTATAATACATAAAGAATATTGCTAGGTGGTCAAGGACATGTTTTATTTATACACGACAAGTTTAATTATTTATTATTTTAATTTTTTCTTATTTAAAAATATAATGTTTTATATGAATACGAAAATATTTTTATCTGGTGGTGTTACCTACACCACCTGAATTCATACAGCTAAGTAATAAATGGTTGAACTTTCATTAAACAATTGATGTAGATATTCTCATGTATTTACAAGATAAGAACAATACATAAAAATATATAGGTAATTCGATTGGCATATTTAAGTGTAACTAAAATTAGTAAAACCTTGTTTGTTTTATACAACGTTGGTATTGATTATTATTGATTGAACAACACATTCAGCCGTACTGAACCATATCAATGTAATGTAATGATACAAACTTGCTATTTAAGTGAAATTCAAATTGAAACGTCATTATAATAGCATGCTAGATAACTGGATATTATATCCAAAGGCATTGATTAAATAATGTATGTAACACTTTGCGACGATTGAAAAATATATCCATTGCGTTGATTTCATCGCATATCAAACCGTCCCGTGTAGTGTGTGTGTGTTAGTGCATTAAACCTGGCCACTGGATGTAGGCTAACAAGTGTCCAGTGGTATAATGAGAGGCGGTTAGTGGTCGGTCCCCGTCGGCCGCGCGAGGTCCCGCGCGCCCACACTCGGAAGCGACGCGCGCGCCTCGCCGGCGAAACGTCCGCGCCGCCATTAGTATGCGACCGAACACCGCATCACAACTTTCTCGACATTCTTGCCAACAACAACTGGAGAAATGAGCGCCATCGATACATTTATAACAATCTATGTTATCTAAAATATCCGTAGATGCATGCCTATCTATCTACAAATATTATTTTGCTAACGTAATAGGATCTATGATATTATATCAAGTACATCTATCACAAAATTCATAATCCACAAAATCACAAAATTCATAAAATCTTTTCACGGTCTATTTTGTTTACAAATGATGTACATAACTTTGTTTTAATAATGTATAAGATTTATAAAATATTTCGATTTAACTTTTTGCTTATTGAACGACTAAAACAAGGAAAAATTAATTTCCTCGTAGATTTATTTGTTAATTACTAAGGACTCATTGTACCTAGTGTGTTAGTTGTTTTGGGAACATTTTACGTCTCTTACTCATTCACGAACGTCACCTACACTCGAAATATAACTCAGAGCATAAATTACGTACTTACCTATATATTAAAATTATTTGCACTAGTGTCACTTTCCCCTATGTCCGTACGTACGTACCTTTAAGTGATATTTACGCAACGAGGTTGATATACTGTTAATTCATTAATTATTATTTAACTAAGCATACGCGCGAGCGTACTGTGCCACAGATTTATACTCTGTACGTACTTGTAATAATAATAGATGTGCGATAGAAAGTACTGATTTATAATTGGTTGTTATTTCAAAGTTCATGGGCATAGAATATTTTTTTAAGGTCAAGGTTTACTTTGGCTATGCTAGTAGCAAACTTTAGCAAAAATAAATTGTTCTTTTAATTTTTTTCCAGGTGGCGATGGCCGGCGACTTCATCCTCGCCGTGGCGTCGATGATGATAGCTCGCTTGCGCAGCGATGACGTCACACTCGTGCTCAGCCAGGTAACTACTCCATTATCACATATTAGGTACCATACAAATTCGTAAGGCACCTAACTAAATGAGTTTTGGCAATCTAATCCGTCGAATGGATGGGTAACTGTTACAAATAGCCTATTGTAATTTGCCTCACCGAACAGCAATCTCTACCGAAAAAATCGGTAATATAATATTATTATATTCTTCGGTTGTTTTCAATAATTGTTAGAAGACCCAGACAGAATATCAAAAAATTATTAAGTGAATGTAATATTAGTTAACTTTGTATGTGTGTGTAGCTAACAAAAAATTACTTTACAATTACTTACTCTACCTTTACAAGTTTACGTTATAGAAATATCAATATAGGATGAAAATTATCAAAGTTATAGATTTTATGTAATTCGTTTACTCAAACAATAGATATAACGACGGGTTTTGTAATACTGCTTTGGCCTTACTTAATATCATATAATACAATATGCGTTAAATGTGGAAAAATGTTTGCACCTGACATTAGCAATACGTTTCATCACTATATTGATGTACTCCCATTCACAGTCTCTTGCAGTAGCACAAATCATTACTTCAATACAACCTTTTGAATGTTCGTGCTCACACGCATGCCCGATTGGGGTCGAATGTTCGGCTAGAATATTCATTAAAACGATTCATCCTGTCGACCTTCTTAAATTATTAGACGCTAACATTTTGTGCGCTATAATATAAATATTTTTTGTTATTTTATTGCAAATGAAACAGTTAGTTATAGCATGAACATTCGATTAATATTGAAAGTTATTGAAATACAAAGGTCTTCCTCAATATGTTACAACATTCTATCAAAATCTTTAAGCTTAGTAGGTGGTTTATAAATAGAATTTCTTGAATTCTACGTTGATCGTAAAATTGCTAAATTGTTTATCTACTAACTTGTGTGTAAACATATAAATAAGCAAGTGGCTTCACACCGAAATAGTCATTTAATCAGAATATATTAATTCCGTCGTGTTTTCATTACAGCATTACGATGTTAGTGGTTTAACTATGGGGAAACAAAGAAGTACTATTATTTTTTATTTTTATAAAATGGCTGAGTGCATAAATAAGTGCAGAAGTATTCATAAATCATACGTCAAATTTAAATTAAAAATGAACTTTGAAAACTGCAAGTTGCAAAATATTTCACGACCTTATGTTAACGTTCTTGAAAAATATTATCATTTAAATAATGACCATTTTCAAGTACCTTTACACTAATGAGTGCTATTATTATTTTTGAATAAATATCATAAATGTCGTAATAGTGTTGAATTCATGAAAATATAATTTTAGACAATTTATCAAATACAATTATAGGATCTCACAAATAATATTTTTTTTTACTATTTAAACGGTTTTTACTGCATAAAATCAACTTTTGTCATTTGTATCTGTTATACTGACTACATTGGCATGAAACAACAACAAAAATCATTCTGCTGGCTAGAGCAACTGTACATGTATGGCCAAAGAAAATCTTTAAGATCGCAGGTATAAAGAAAGTCGAATGTCATTTAAAACGAAATATTATTGATTATATTATTTAATTAAAAAGATTTTTATTATATTTACAGGTGGTCACAGACCTCGTTCAGGGCGAGTTCATGCAGCTGGGCAGCAAGGAGACAGAAAACGAACGGTTCGCGCATTACCTCACCAAAACATACAGGAAGACAGCCTCACTCATCGCTAACTCAGTCAAAGCGGTAATATTCTCATTAGTCAACTTGTCTTATGTTATTCTAATTACAAAATTATGCTTCTCACGAATGTAACATACTGCACCTCATTACGAATTCTAAAGACAATACCATTTAAAGCTGATACTAGGAAATAATGTTCTTACTAGCTGTCGGCTATAAAGTGCTGAGATATATGGCTACGCTTTCTCAAACAGGTTAATCTAGTAAAGTCAAAGTCAAGCTTTCTTTACCTGTAAATAAAAATTTAATAATTTACATCCCTTAAAATGTGAAATTATGATACTCAGATAAATATTTTTATTTTAAATACTTACTAAACTAATAATATCAAAATGTAAATGTTTATGCATTCGCTCAAATGATGTTATAGTTTTTACTCACTCTCTGCTCAAAACCTAATCAAAAATATTGAGGTTTGAGTGTTACTCGAAAGATACTGAAGCTAGCGTTTCAGAACACAAACAAAACTAATTATCTAGTTAATATTATAACTTTTGTAACTTTTCTTTGATTCCAATGGGAATCATTAAAAATATCATAAGAATCTATGCTTTTTGTCTATGTTGTAGGTCCGTTAACAAATACAAATTCACTTAATGACCGATCACAATATTATATAAAGAGTTTTGTTGTTCCGTGCAGGAATCGTTGCGATGCAGCCGGTTCTCAGCTTAGCACTAATCGTACTTAGTCATTGATTAAGAGCAACACATAACTAAGTCACTTTGTGAAACTAGACAGTGTTTTTACGTAAGGTATTTACTGGTCTCTCTTACTAAAATCTACCCTTCCTTTCAGGTGGCCCTTTTAAGCGGGGCGGACGAAAGCACGTGCGAACTAGCATTCCAATATGGACGCAACCTCGGCCTGTCATTCCAGTTGGTAGACGATCTACTAGATTTCGTGTCTTCAGCACAAGCTATGGGCAAACCCACCGCCGCCGACCTTAAGCTTGGTCTGGCGACCGCGCCAGTACTATTTGCCTGTGAAAAGGTATATATTTTTTATTTATTACGTTCTTTGTTATTTAATAGCCTTTTATATTTTAGGTACATTGCTTACATACATAAGTGAACAAATTCTGAAATAAAAATCGTTTTGCTAATGTTTATTATTATTAACATTTTTAAGTTATTATGGAAGCAAAACAAAGACAATTTGGCTTCATCGATGTTCTATATTTGAATCTATACATGGGATAATGAAATTATATATTGACTACGGAGGTCCTAGTATGTTGAAAATTCATCTAGAATTTTACTTGAAAGATCACGCATTTAAAAGAAAGGTTCTATTAGAATCTGGTATAAACATGTACAAGTACTTGACCTACATACCTAATTCTAAAATATCTTAAGTTGATAAAGGTATATTTAGAATTTCGCAGCGCGTGATGTGAACGTACCTATTTAAATTCGACTAAATAGTGGCAAACCGGTTGCCCTACCTCAACTTTACATACTCGTGGCCATAGCCAGGCTTATACACATACTTGCGCAAAAATATTCGTTTTCGTAATACATACGTTGAGCCACAGCTGAACCATTTGCACTACATTGCAAAAATGTTCACGATTGACCTCTACCAAGCCCAGTGGTTCGTTGTAACTAGAACTCGTCGAAACGATCAACGATAAAATGACATTTTTAATTTAAACGCATATACATATATTAAAAATGAAAGTGAAGAAAGCGATTTGCATATTTTTCCTTTAGATGACGCAAGCACAAGTCAACATAAAATTTTGGTTTTGGTTTATAAAAAATTTTCACTCATTTTATTCATGTAACTATTGTGAGACATACTAAATTCACTCAAAGACGACTTCCTCACGTAGTAAATTCATCTTCGTGAGAAAGTCGTCTTTGCGAAATTATCGATGAATTTTTCTTAGTTAATTTACGCGAGCAAGTTGTTATTTTTAGTTTACTTTGTTCTTCACACTGATTAACAAATTATTTTCGTCTCATTACAGTACCCAGAACTGAACCCGATGATAATGAGGCGGTTCCAAGAGCCGGGTGATGTAGAAAAAGCGTACGAGCTTGTGCACAAATCTCGCGGTCTTGAGCAGACACGTTTCCTTGCCCGTAAGCACGGAGCTGAGGCGGCGCGCCTAGCGGCTGAGTTGGCTGACTCGCCCTACCAAAAGGGCCTAGTCGTCACCACCGACCTCGTGCTGAACAGGATCAAATAGTACTGAACTACTCTACCACCGTACTCAGTACGTGCACGACCAAAACTTTAATATATTCTATGAAAGGCATCCACAGTTCTAGCGGCTCCCACCCTACAGCGTGGTGAAGCTTTGAAACATATTGTTGAAGTAGTTTTTCGTTTACGTTGCAACATTATGTATACGTGATCCTAAGAGTATTTCAAAGAAATTAATTTTCCCCGTCGAGCGCCTCCTTTAATAGTACTTAAAGGTTCTAGCGTGAGACCCACAGAATTCTGGATACCTTTTGGTAAAGGATATAGAGGCGATGGACATTTTATTTTAGTAATGTATTTGAGTGTTCGGAGTTCAGCCGGAGCCGGTCGCCGCCGCCGGGTTCGGCTCGTCGCGAGTGAATGTCAAGTGTATATGAGTGTGAATTGAGCCAACATGGCGACATATATCGTAGATATTTTACGTCAAGTTATACCATGTGCCCTGATAAATTAAACATAATACTTTGTACTACATACTATAAAACGCTATGTGTGTAGTTTGTTGTTATATTTTATTGTAATCAGTAGAACTGATTGTCAAGTAATTATATGTTACTTATTATTAAAGTATATCTATTTTATTAGTATTGATATTATATAAATATTTGTACCTTGTGTCCTTCACTTGTGTGACCTGATTTATTTTAAGATAATTTTCTGTGAGTTTTGTGACATGATGAAGTATCTACGACTAGCGAGACTATCGCTGCCAGGGAGCGTGTATGACTACTCGTTACCAAATACTGTACGCTATATATGTACATACCTACGTGTACTGTTTGTATAAATATGCTCAACTGTTGTATCGTGCAATCTTTATGTAGGTATAGAGATAGAAAGTACCTGTGTTTATGCACAAATAATATGCTATCGACGATCATCACAAAATTACTTGCACTTTGTTTCATAAGTTGGTGTTCGTTTGTTTCTTACTGTATGTATTTTGTGATTTGTAAATACTGAGAGTCATTGGATAAGTTACCCGTGTTTTATCTTCAAAACCAATTACCTCAATTTCTTTAGAGTACACGTTACATACTAGAGGTGTTTGTTATATTCTGACCTAGTATTAAATTTGTAAGTATTTTACGAGGCCGCACTAAACATTGAGGCAGAATATTAACATCTGTTAGCAAATTAGTACATGTTACAATTGTAAATAATACTAACACCTATGTATCCAACGTATCGAGCGTTTATAGACAAATTAATTTTCAGAGTACCGCAAACAATGCACCATAAGCGCAGTATTCTTAAAACTTTTTCTTGAAATTATTAATATTTAACAAAATATTAGTCATTAATAAGGTAAATATAGTTTAAGGCTGAAGCTACGACTGATATTGCGTAAATGAAGATGTTTTATACAGCAAACAAACTTACTAGATGGAAAGTTGTCGCGAGTGGTGACGTAATTTTTAGAAAAATGTAGCATTTGTTGCTTTTTGAAGCCGTCCACGTACATTAGCCGCAACGAATTAATAATTAGTGTGTGAAAACACTTTATTTCGAATATAGATTCACACGAAACTTGTTCTCACTTAATTCGTTTCCAATGTTTTAAAGCGGTACCACTATGCTGAGGTGGAAGCAATAAAAGGTCTTGGACTGGATAAAATCGCGTTGTATTAGACAAATTTATTTAATGCATTGGTCGTTGTTTCAGCCAACCCAATTATGGAGATGGAGGTGTATGTTTTTTTGTACATTAAAAATGTTAAAAAATGGGAGTCAATGAAGTTTATTTATATGTATGTAGACATACTTTAATAGGTCATATGTTTGTAAATATTATTATTCTGTAAAATGGTAAATCATGAATAATTTTTAATATAAACATTAGTTACAAAATACTGTTTTATTTCAGTTCGTTTACCCATTATCATACCCGAACGCTACGCATTATTACAATTTAACCTTGTTTCTACGCAATATTGAAATTCGCAAGGACACACGCAAATGTTAATAGCGTGGATGTCCTTGTGAAAGTCATCAAAATACCAGCGATTTTATTGGTGACCCATTTCCACAACAACAATGGCACTCTCCTGCCTGCAAGCTATGTATATGAATGAATGCAATAGGATTCGTAAACGCGTGTTTGCGGCTATCGATCGGCCCGCGCCCGGCACCGCCAGGACGAGCCGAATGCCAGCTGAAAAATGCCATGAAAAATGTACATGACCTACTGCACTATACTAAGTTGAATATACGTAAGCACTAAAGATTACAACGTTTACTTATACCTATGTTGTTATGATACAATAATTACATTTTAGATGAGCTTATTGTATTGAAAAGCAAATATCGTTACCAAAATTAAGATTTTATTTATATGATAGGTAAACAATTAACGTCGTCGCCCATAAAAAATCCGCAACAACAGAGAAGTTAGGAGTGCATTGACGGCCTTATGGGAATTAGGGATTGAGGAGAGATGGGAGAGGGAAAGGATTGGGTCTACGGTAACCTCACTTACACGGCGACACACAGCGATGTGATTGTTTCACTCCGTTTTCTGTGAGGCCGAGGTATCACTCCGTTTAAGCCGACTCATTCGTGCCGAAGCAAGTCTCTGCAACATATTTGTATAAAGGCAAAACACAAACAGTAACAACAAAAAAAATTCGTCTTCGAAAATGATGATCTACTTGCTTGTCGTGCTATACATCATTTACTTGTAAGTTTTTCGCTACGTGCACGAGTTTCGCAGAATTTCATTACCGTCACGGAAATATTTATTGCTCGTATACTATACATAGGAGCCAAACGTGATGTCGCGATATGGAAATTTGGTAAATTCGCATAGGTTTTCTGCTGTTCTTATTGATTAACAATGAGTACTCGTCTCTTTGTAACTTTTTGCCAAGGTCAAAAACGTTATATTTGCCCCAACATGCCCTCAGTTATTCGCCAGACTTGAATTTAGTTTGCGTCTGAACATTGAATAGTGCTTACAGATCGTTAAGGCCTTTCATGTATAAAAATCGTTTATCGACTGGCTTAACAAAGAAACGCTATTTGAAACTGCAACAAAGCACTTAATCACAACTAGTGATTTGCAAGAATATTTAATACCCTTAATAAACCAGTTACATTTCTTACGGCTTTGGGGAGACATGTTTCGTTAAGGAGTCATTAAATTACTCGCTTAAATAAATTAAAGGACGTCACTTAATAGGTAAGTCAAATAGCTTTATATTTTCGTAGACATTTACCGAATTTTACACCAAGGGTGGCAGTTTATTGGTACTAAGACGCTTCGACTGAATAATTAAGTCAACGAAGAGCATTGCATGTCAGTGTAAAATTACAGTTGAATTTTATATGACCCAAATGCCAACGCCAATAACAGGTGTACATGTGTCTACACGATATACAATTTAAAAACTTGCATCAGTATTATTAGTGCATCTGCAGGTATGTTAGGTAGGTATTTACTTCACTACACTTCAGTTTAAATCCTTATCCAATTAAATTGCAATATTGTTTTTAGGACTGTCTTAATTCATATATCTCTAGAACATACTTTTTTTATTTTTCAAATCGTCTATTCCATTTAATAGATAAAATTAATAAGCCACAGGTACAAGTAGAAAAATAAAAACATAAAAAATGTTAATAAATTGTCCGTTATAATTCATAACTGCACTAATAACGTGTTTAGAATTAGGTAGTATTTATCAATTTTAGAAATACAATATCTTACAGAGTCAGAGCCAAGTCTAATTTTACCCCATCGCGAAATCTATTGCTATTTGCAATATGTTTCTATTATTTCAGTTCCTAACAACGCAGTTTGACGTTAAAACAAAATGAATAAGATAAACGGCTACGGATTATAAAATTGGAACATAAGTTAGTTATATTTACTACGCTGTGGTAACATAAGTCATTGGAATCGTTCACGACAGTACAGTTTCAGTTGAAACGGCGCGACGGCGACTTCTATAGGCTTTCAGTAGCTGGCGGCAAGCCGTTCTGTCGCCACCGGACACCTGAAATGATAGTCTTCAGTGTGTGCACATTCCTTCCCGCGTTCATTCTCGTCCGAATCTGCTGTGTGTTTGGTTATGTGATATGAAATTATTTGTTGTTGGGTTTAGTGAAACTATAGTTTAAATGTTTGCTTTGCACTCTCAAAGATTGCGTAGGTAAGATATTATTTCATGGTCGTATAGACGAAGACAAATCTTACGTACTTTCTAAATATGTAAAGGATTTACTCTAGAATAATAATGAGCATTGTCTAATGGTCATAATATTCACAACTACACATTATGAAATTGTAACAAAGTTTTGTATAAAAAATATGAAGCTATATCTAATCAATCAATCAATAAACTAAAATGACATTAAAAAAATCTCAATTGATTTATAAAGTAAGCAATTATAAAATTTAAACACGCCGCCTGATTAATAAAAACGTTACCTACGAAGTAATTTAAATGCATCAATTGGCTGAATAAATTCTTAAATAATGTATTTGTCGAGAAAGGCTCTGCACGTAGTGAACCTACAAGAAGGTTATTAAAATAACAATGTACAAATATGAAATCTCATAATTTTAAACAGTAATTATTAACCTTTAACAATTTATGTAAAGGAGGCTTAGTGCCCCGACGTCAGGGTCAATCCGACGTCGGGCTCGGGAGCGACGTCGTGCTGAGCAGACAAGAGCGGAAGGCGAGCGCATAGCACGCGAAAAGCGGGAGCGAAGAGCACGGGAAAAGCTTGAACAACAGAGGAAGGTAAATACACATTTATGCACCTATGAACGATTACTTTAATACGACGCATCTAGGTACTCATTTTATTTGTGTAGGAAAATACATCAAATGACTTCTCCCGCTCAGAGTATGGCGGCAGGGAGTGTCAGACTTACTGACTAAAAACCCTCCCAACGTACTTACTACGCGCCGATGCTGCCCGATATTGTGCTTGACCCGCGGCCCCGGCTAAGCATTGGCTATGTTAGGCTTAGATAGATCCTGTCTGTGGTGGTCTATTGGCTCTTTGAGACGTGCGCGGAAAGTTACGCGCCATATATTTAGGTACTCACTAAAGTACTAATTTGTCCTTTTACGAATGCACGTGTGTAATTAACTTCCTTCCTATTACTCCTTAAAGCGATGAGAACAACGTTAAAGTTAACGTCTGTGACAAACAAACAAAACGATTTCTTACATTTGAAAGTATTAAAAATAAACACTAGTGAACCTTACATAATAAGATGTGAAATGACAATCTATCGTTTTTATGTACATGTACCTTCAAAAATGCAAATATTTACTAAACGTGTGAAGGAATCCACACCATTGCTTGCGTAACGTAAAGTAACATTACCACTGTATTTGTATAAAATAAATCATAGTTTCAAACAGTTTACCTAAAACTAAAGTACCTAATTTGAAATTGTAAGATTGTCATCCAAATTGGCAGGCTTATATTAGAGTAGGCATCTAACTATCCACTTTTACTTGATATAGAATAGCTACACACCAACTCAGCTTCAGAGATTCAATTATCTTCGATTGCATATAAGTACATAATACATAGCTACGTTCCTCAAGCTAAGGTAGGCTCATTTAACAAACGCAGTCGTTACTCTTGTAACCATTTACCGTGTTCACCTTTGCCCTTAACAGTTATACAATATAATAGGTACGTTTTGATAAAAATCTTCAACTTTTCTAATCTATTGTAAGTATTTCGGTAAGTACCCACAGGTGTTTTAGGATACGTATCGTGTGTGATATAATTAATTAGTGATAGACTTTATTTAATTTGAGGTTCGTTATAAGCTTAAAAATTAAGGAATCTTAAGATATAAAACTGAATGACTTGATCATAAATGCTTGAGGAAACAATGGTGGCTCCTACTTCCACAGTATTTCTTTCTCCGCCCACATTATTAAGAAATAATAGGTGCGGCACGAGCCTCTTTTATAACATCATATTAATCGTGTATCTAATAGCTATTATTAACTTTTAAGCGACATCGACTAAATAAAGTGACTGACTCAAAGGTTACTGAGTTCACATCCTTCTAATATTTTGGTACTTGTAAATACTTCCATTGCCCAATGTATACATATTTTAGTTAGCTTATTTCACTCTCAGGCAATACAATCATCTGGATCAGAAGTTTTCAATATTTTAGTGTTGCTAATTACAGGCTCGTGAAGAACTGGCGACCTACCAGCCGTGGGGACGCGCGGGCGGCGGCGCTCCCAACCCTCGAGGAGTACGATTTACTAATCTCCGAGACAAAGGGATCTTTCCTGAAGACGAATTAAGGGTAAGAAAGAGGGCACACATCACATCACATCAAACATCATCAGTCTATAAGTGCTTACTGCTGAGCAAAGGCCGTTCTCACATGGAGTAAGTTTGAGTATTGATCGCCACGCTTGCTCAATGCGGATTGGCGATTTTAAACTTAATTAGAAGGTATATAAGTCCAGGTTTCCTCACAATTTTTTCCTTCGCCGTATCTAAATAATCATGGAAAGTACCTACATATAGGTAACTCTGAAAAAGTTGCATTGATACTTGCTAGGTTTCGAATCCATACCGTCCATCCATCCATCCGGGCCACCACGACAGAAAGAGGACATGGAATCATAATAAATTATAGTCATAAAAATATCTCTTGTTAAATCATGATTAGATAAAGGTTACCCAGCTACATTTTAAAGGTAACATGTCTATATACAGTTATAAGTGCAATACATGTGACTTGGACTGGAAACAACATAATTCGTCATAAGTATTTGTCATCTTAATTATATACAGAGTTTGTACAGAGAAAGTGTGTACAACATTGAAACGACACTGCCTACAGCGCTGAACTTCCATCAAGGGGCCAGTGGTATTCAACATGAAACATTAGGATAATATGCTTAAAGGAACATTTTTTATTACAGTAATATAAATCATAATTAAATAATATTTAAGAAGTGTTTACGAAGAATGGCCTTCTATACAAACTTTCAAGTCCAAAATCATGGAAACCACTCAGCTAATTTCAATGAACCTGCTACTCACACGTAATATCTTGAACTAAAAACTTTAGAAGAATAATTTAGGGAGACTGAAAGTGAAGATAATTGTTCCCACATTGACTTTCTACGAACTAATTGTTCGTTTAAAGAATATTTCGAAAATGTACCTACTCAGGTAAGTTTTCATACCTTCATGTGTATGGGCGTATGACTTGAGTACTAAGTTTAATAAAAATCGGTTCAGCAGTTTCCATAACTTTTGGAGTTTTTAAACCTGTGCGGTATAAACGCTCTTACAATTTTCGTTACAAATACGTAGGTACCTATATTAGTAATCAAAGTGGCTTGCAATGCACATCACATATCTTAAATACATATTATCAAATAAGTGTATACCGAGCTACCTCAAATGTAATATGTTTTTGACGTTTCTACACAAATAACCAATTATCGGACCAACATTATAACTTGGTGATTTTTATACTATGCCCGAGGTTATGGTTATCCCATGAATAAATAAAAAAGTTGGTCGTATCATTCAAAATGTCAGATTGAGTAGAAAAATGTTGAGTACCTCTGAACTAACTCTTTGTAATATTGTATGCATGACTTGTTGAAACAAGCGCGTAATTGAAATAATTATTTTCTATTAGAGATTATGAGATCTGTATTTAAATATTACTAAATTACAATGCGTCTCGCTCAACATTTTAAACAAACATGCAACGTGTATATCAAATGTATCGTACAACACCACGAATTAATTGGTATGTTGTCATAAATTTAATATTTCTTAATTAATTCATAAGTAGGTGGCATTTTTTGTAAATATTTTTGCACTATGCACATTATGTAAGGAAAAATAACAAATGTTTAGGTCATTAATTTATTATATTGATCGGTAGATAAACGAATAAATCATCTTAAAAGGTTAAGGTTTATAACAAATGAATGACCTGAATTCTTTGCTTCGTGACCTCTTGCTTCTTGCAGACAACTACGATGCGTGATTTTATTCCTACTAAATTCGTGAATATTTTTTTTTTGTATTTAGTCGGGAATGATTACAGATATACGAGCTACTCTTAGAAATCATACTACATTTTTTAGGTTTCGTAGTTACTTAATAAATCGCTACAAAAAATAGTTGCAGATGGGCTGTTGGCTATAAATCTGTATATGGTAAAGGGTCATTCATTACTTAAGTGTTATTAAGGCGGGAACCTCACCGTGACGTTACGACACCCAGATGTATAAAAAATGTGCGACCGACTGCTTCTGCCGTATCGAGGATATGAAATTTGTTGACATACATTTAAGGCATTTTGTGTTTTCGTCATCCGTAATTTCTTCTCTTTAAAACTTGCCAGTCTTCCTATAATGTAACCGCCATAATTATACGACACGATTTTATTACAAAACCGATCGCTGGTTCACTGGTAAATTTTCTTATCAAAGATGTAAATTTTGTTTGTTCATGGTTTCCATTAATTTTCTTTATAGAAAATTGATTTGATTGCCTTTGTTATGGCGAAGCTATGAAACTAATCAACAAAATATGAAAGCCGGATTGTTAATTGAGATAGTTCATTGACATCACCTTTTAATTTTATTAGTCACATAAGGGACAGTCGTCGTTTCGTAATGTATTAGATAAATTTAAGCTTTTAATCCTTGTAGAGTTAGGCAGAAGTGCAGAATGGCACCTTGTCAAAATAATTGATCTGTGAATCAAAGTTTTGACTCATATCCACACGCATATCCATCGTAATCGATACAGAACTTTCAGTTGACACCATAGCTTCACTTCTAATAATAGCTTCATTAAGTATTGATCTCAGAAAAAAAAATCCACAATATTTCGTAACAAGGAGCCTTGAAAGCATTAAATTCACAATCACACCGTTTCAGACTATTTGTATCCAGAGCTCATAATTGTCTTAATTTTACACGAAAGTGGTAAGCGGTGAAATGTTGGTTATAGCTTGTACCGAAAAGTTAGCATTTTCCCGCTGTTTATCTCATAGGCACGAAACGTTATAATAATACAATGTATTTTTCACTCCGTATTACGCCTATATTATAACGAATAAGGGAAAACGGTCAACCAATGATTTTGACTAAGTTGTACAAACTACATGCTACGAACTATGCGCTATAAACTACGCGCTACGAATTAGCACTACGAACTACGCACTACGAACTACGCGCTACGAAACTACGCGCTAAGAACTACGCGTTACGGCTGCAATATCTAGCCAATAAAGCCTAATAGCAAATTTAGGGCTTATAAAAACAAAAAGATTTGTAGATCACAAGCTGGGCATGTAGGATTAAAAACTTATATTCTCGTTATATTTGGTTACTAACTTTAAAATTATCTGATTAATAATGTATTTATGGGATATACGGTTATAAAAAGCTGTAATATTTGTATGTTGTATAGTCCACCAGCTTGTTTCAAATGTACGTACCAGTCAAGCAAGTGGAGCTGAAAGCTACTCTTAAAAAATATTATCTGGTATTGAAAATCGTTGTACTATTTTATTAATTTAATAAATGATAAAAATTATATAAGGCACATCATTCTTTTAGACACGCTTTCTTTTAGAAAAATGCCATGTCATGTTAACTATATATTTCTAACACGGCCGTGGCAATAAAGGTATTACATTATTTGATATATTACTTTTATTCTAAACGTCTGTATTCCACTACTGCCATCCCATTATCATCACCATTGTGCAATCTTTCTTATCACAATTATCTGTTTCCCAGGGAGTGTCATTGCACGAAGCGTGTCGTAGGTGGGCGACGTCCCCACTCCGCCGACAGAGGCAGACCCCAGTGAAGTTGAGAGAAGATCCTCAACTGTGTTACGCCGACCCGCTGCGCAAGAGTGTCGACAACGACATACGATACAAACAATCGCCTCATGAACAACAAAACTATAAACAGATATTAGGTACTAACATAATATTATTAATTAATCGGTTACCTCATTTGTATAGTTTTAAATAGCTTGAAAAGAATCTTTCAGTAAAAAAATTCAAAGGCAATTTTTGAAGTTGCACTTATTTGTTATAGTTAAATTAATAATCTGATAAAAACATCTCCTTAGCCGTTTGGCCCAACAAAAATAATTCCTTAGCTCGATAAATTCGACACATTCAAATATTAATGTGTAATTTATAATACCATTGCCGAAAATTTTAGAATATTAATGCTTTTTCGATTCTTTAAATATAGTTTTTTGTATAGTAATAAAGGATAATCTTGTCAACTTTCACTGCACACTTATATAACTTATTGTAATAAATTTTCTAGGTCTACGCTTAGCAAAACCTTTGCATAAATTATTACCAATAAAATATTTACGTCTTATGTAAAGTTATTTTTGATGAGAAAGTCTACGATCTATGCAGATCATCTACGCTTTTTCAAATAGAAAAAGTAATACATTCTAAGATTGATATTTTTAAATGGTAATTAGGAAAGTATATATCTACATAAAGTAAATCTTGTACTTAATGGCTAGTCATTTATAGAGCAACTCAAACAACTAATGTTATTGATAAACTTTAAAAATGTTTCAGATGAAATGGTTACAAAAAAGAAGAAAGCCATGCGAGAAGAAAAGAAACAGAATCTGGAATATGAACGCAAAATGGTAATAGACATAGATTCATTAGTAAAACGGTAGTTCATAATACACATTATTTAACATTTGCAGCACGCCATGGAAGGACCATGGGGCAAACCAGGGCCTGGTGGCACAATATGGAGGAACCCCCGAAACATTGGATTAAATTTCTCTAAGTCTATGGTTCGTATTTAAATATTCAAATACTTAAATAAAACATAATCAAGAAGACGTGGTATATGTTGTATTTGATGTATATAGTAGGAGTGAGATACACCTTCGTGTATTTAAAAATATATTTTGTTATAGGGTTGGACAGATAATGAAATTTTAACGAAAATGAATGGGGCTAATAATGGGCATAAATCTTCACTTACTTTACCTAAAGTAAAGGGAGACGATGATTTCAGAGAAGATACGCCTAATAAAGAAAATGTAAGACCACATGACGTAGAAAAGTTACCAAACATTAAATACGGTGCCAGTTCGCAAAGAAAATCTCCAGAACAAAGAAGATTTAGTTTGGACGTTAAGGTAAAGCACGAAATCTCTTATGGTGGCAATGGAGAAGATCGAAGAAGTCCAAAGAAAACTAGATTCGTCAAAAGATTGTCTAATGGAGATAAAGTAACGAAACTAATAATTGACGACAGCTATGACGGTGGGGATGAGATGGTGGTTGAAAAGAAGCCAACACCCGAAGCAGCTATTTTGCGGGTAACTGGTGGAGTTGAGCTTGTTCCACTTCTTGCTAGAAGACGTCGTGTTGGCGCACGCACTTTGCCATCCAGTGATGTCACAAGACCGGCCGATCAATCGTGTCAGTACGTATCAAGTTTTTTTATAAATATGACTGTTAATAATACATGCGATGATTAGGTATCTATTCTCTGTTATGTCCTATGGCAGCATGATTCTGCAATTTTGGTCATCGATAGGTATTTCTTTGTGGATAATAGAAGCTAACCAATGTCAAAGAAAATAATAGTATTCAATTTATAAGTTCATGGCACCTGACCCGTTTCAAATCCCGATGACCTGGTTATAAAATGAAGCGTCGCTCATTGATTTTTTATTATCAAAGGTCTGTAGTAATTTGCCAATGGTTTACATATCTGCGTGTCAAGTTTACCGAACCGTTAATAGATTTGCATGTAAAATGTCAGCGGATGTCGTAACAAGTTTTTCGTCAATCATATTGTAAGATTGAATTTCACACATTCCCATAGCGGGGGATACAATTTGGTGATTTCCTCCCTCAAAGAAAAAACAGCTGTGTTTCGAAAATCCCATTGGTGTTTTATGAATAGTTACTAGTTTTAAAGGTTAAGAAAAACTCTGCAATCGACATCCAGTTAATATTCTAGAATTCCAACTAACAGCTATGCATGTTACAAATCACTATCTTTACAGATACAACAAAAAGAATTTGCACTCTTATTTTTCGTTTCTCGATTTGTTAATTTGATCTTGAACGTTCCAAGTTTACCATGAATATTTACGAATACTTACATTTCCGGTACAAATTCGAGCTATACATATAGTTACCTAACGGTAAGCAATGTTTGGCCACCAATCCGGTAAGGTAGAGATTGCATCATGGCTTTCTATCTGTCGGGGTCCACACGACACCGGCGGGGTCTATACATAAGATAAACGGCTTTCATTAAGCCTGTGATGTGCACCACAAGCCCGCTAGTCGTTGATAATGATCGTTGACACTTCGACAGTTGTAGATATCGATGAGTAACTATCGTATTCATATGAATGATATTGTATTTTATGTTATCTTTGAACTATGACCTCCTTAGCATTAGCTTGTGCCGTGCTTATAAGTTAACTCAGATTTTTTACGACTGTTTTTATTTTATCTGATTTTCTAGACTACCTAAATTACAATTAACGCTCATTTAAAAAAAAAGAATGATTTATTTGTACAGACATCGTGTAATTCTTACAGATGGCGGGAATCACTCAACATGGATTACTTGAGAGAACTAAAACAGCAAATGAAAGTGAAATGCATACAAAAAGAGGTTATTATTTTTCAAATTATATTTAAATCTCAAATTTAATCATAAAATAATAAAATAAAAATAAATACTTATTTTTAGGAACACCGGCGCGATTCAGCTGAGAGCGTTCGTAAGCACCATGAGACATGGGAGTCTCTTTGGGGCAGGCAAGGACACGGAGCTCCTCTACGCGGCAAATACGCAAGGAATAACTTAGCACAACTACTCTATGTAGCACCCCTGACAAATGCTCAGTAAAAAGCATTATGTAGTGACTTCACCACTAGTAAAATACAAAAACAAATGGCAGTATCCAAAGAAGTTTTTACGATTATATGGTTTTAGAAGCTATGGTCCTTGCTTTTGGAATTTGTTGGACATAATCGGCAGATCACGTGGTTATCGTGGATACCCAAGAAATGTATAAGGTTATACTTTTACAAAATAAGTATGTTAATCCAAAACGAACAATAAAACATTCGGTTTATTATCAACAACTTTGATGCATTGAATGCATTATCGTTGGCATCGTGATCATGAACTTTCAACGACAGATTATTCCTAGCTACAATGTTCTAATGTTAGATAACAATAAAATAGTTTGTTATGTTATTAATTCAAATGTTAACTTCGAACTCTAAATCTACCATATCTAGTGCCAACAGAATACATTAAAACTAACTTAGGCATGAATGTGAATAAATGTGAACACCTACATATGTGTGAAAAATGCGTTTACAGGTGTTTGTAGACCAAAGATTAGGTATGTATATTTATATACAATACGTAGGTGCTTAAAAAAGGAACTGCTAAAATGTAGTAAACTGATTTAAGTAGCCAAATACTTAACGTCGTTATCCCATCTTCGATGCGGAATCAAACCTTTGATCGTATTTGGTTGCGGTCTGTTAGAGTCATTATATGTAGGTACAATATTTCCAAATCTTTATATCTTCCATACTTCTACTTCCTTTATACTGTATCGAAATATAAAATCGCATTTTTATCATGTCTCACAATAAATTAATATAATAAAATGGTATGCCGCAACAGATGTAATCCTCCTATTATCTAGCAATTTTTCTGAAAATGTATTAGTGAAATAAATAACTATGTCGTAATATTAATTTGAAAATTACAAAAGTAAGTAAGTAATTAAGTTGTTGAAAAAATTTAACCACAAATTATAGTAAGAAACCGTAGAAAATTAGTCTCACGAATTTTAGACTTATTTTAATTTAATTGTGAGCCTCGTTGCACTGTAAAAGAATTAACGTTTTAGGAGAATAAATTTAATTTAATATACTTTTTTTCTTAGACTTACCTATACCCATGCAGTATTTCAACATCTTAGATGCTGTGCCAGTTATCAAACTCTCCTAATAGAAACCTGCTATTTTAATGGGTCTGATTGGATGAATATATTTTAAATACTGCTTCCCGTTGCTGATTAAGTGGAAACATCTAAATAGATGCTATCAAAACCAATTAAATGAAACGACTTATTTAAAAAACAAAATGGAAAATTCGTAGGTGGAGGTATATTTGAATACCTTTGCTTCTTCTATTGATTCGTACCTCTCTGGACAAATAGTTTACTTTCTTATATGTGTGTACTTTCTTATATATCGAAAATATTTCAGTATTTTGTACCTTGTTTCAGTCCATTGCGTTTGAATTTATCTAACATTATATTTGTTTGCTTAATTGAGAAAAATATATCTATTATAATATTTGGGGGTTATGGTTATGGTAGAAAATCTTCATTTAATTAATCAAACGCTAAACGAACGCCGGCGTTCATATTGATCTTCTAAATTGTGTCTCGATTTCTCGAATCACCAAAATTGGAATATTAAAATAATATACTCTTGTGTATAACAGTTAAACAGATTACACTCTAAATAAAACAAAGCAAACTGTAGTCGAAAAAGTAATCATGCATTAATTATGTTGTTATCAGCAAATTCTAAATATTTTGAATGCGAAAATCATAAATATTACACAATAGTTTAGCATTCAACATCCCACGCGTACTACGAAGACAATAACTTCAGAGTGCACTCAAAGTGATGCAATGAACTTTCAACAAATAACAGGTTCACAACAATAATATTGTATCTTACCTACCTACCTACTCTCATTTTAGTTATAACGGTTTTTCGTACTAAGCAAAGGTTCTTTCAACTTAGACATAAGTTCTAAGTTTCTATCAAATTTGCTTTGATTGCCAATAACTAAAAAATATTCTGACAATAATCTGACAGCAGCCAGTTGCCCAGCCACCAATGGCGCCGTGGCTGGGCAACTGGCTGCGATTCCCGCACAGAACAACAGTTTGTGTGAACAAATTTCACAGTTGTTCCGGGTCTGAGTGTGATGTGCAACTGAAATTGTGTGTTTGTAAACGCACCCACGACACAGGAGAAAATCCAGGGGCAGCGTTTGTTTAAAGAAACTAAACTACAATTTAATCAAAGTCAAAGTCAAAATGATTTATTTCAATTAGGCAGGACCCTACAGGTACAGGTAGGTAGGGGTTTCGAACGTCAAACAAAACTTAAATATAAAAGTATCAGTCCGTCGGTCAGTCATCTTATGCCCGGTTTCTGAAGGCGTCGGTTATGTTTAAAATAGTTGTTGGTTCAATAAAGTTATCAATAAGATAAACGTCGGTTAACTGTCACTGCGTTTCTGAATACGCAACAAGCCGTTCAATAACTATGTAAAAGATAGTAAGTTCCTTAACTTGCCAATAGATTGGTCTTTTGAGGATAACAACTAAATTTTGATTTTATTTATTCTATTTTAGCTTTATTACGTGTTTATTAGGTACCTAAATAATTTCTTTTCAAAGTTTTAAGTTATCAAAAACTGTTTCATTTAAAATATAATGATAATTTGTTATTTAGCATTGGCTGTATTGAACACCGTCTCAGTGTCAGTTAGAAAAAAAAGAAACGTCAAACAGACATTGTTGTCGGTTGCTTGGGAAAACGAAAACGATATCTTAAAGTAAACTCTTCATCAGTAAACATTTTTAAAGGACTTCTCCTTTGTCTTAAGTGTCTGAGTACAGAAATACAAGAAATAAACTCTAGTACTTCCATATCAGACTCAGATGAACTGCTTGTATTTAATATGCTCCTATTCATTGCTCTTCCATAATTAGCAGCTAAAGCAACTTTTACTTATTGAAATCATTTTAAAATTTACCACAAAAATTGTATAGTTTGACATTCGAAACGTCAAATAAAGTTATGGAACTGATAAACGGCACCAAATGGCGAGTTAAGATAGCTTTAGTTTAAACGGAGTTTAACTAACTGTGACGGAAAAGTGGTTCAAACTCTTTGACATCATGATGTCAATGGATGGTTGTCAAACGTTGCCTAGAGATTGTAAATTTCGTCGTGAATTGTCAACACGAGTTGGTGTAATCGGTAAGACGTGTGGATTACACCACAGAGACCCCGAGTTCGAGTCCCGCCGTAAACATGAAGTTTTTTAGTTGATGGAAGTTTTGTCGAACTTTCTGGAATTATTTGTGTGAAAAAAATGAAAAATTAAAGAGCGAGAAGGAGAATAAATAAAAATGAATAACGAAATTATTGGAAGGTTCTGGAGGCATGACGATCAAAAAGAATAACGAAATTGAATGTTCCAGAACCTGACGGGGGGTATATAAGCGGAACTGCGGCTCACCGCTGGCAGTTGAGTTCTAAGTCTAAAGCGATTCGGAAGAAAAGGAAGAAGTGAGAAAGAAGAAAAGTGAGTGAAATAGTGAAGTGCAGTGAAATAGTGAAGTGCAGTCAGTTAAGTGAGTTAAGTCAGCGTCAACGGCAAAGTTGTGTCAGTCGGCCGGACTCTGCTGGAGAGGAACGCCGATAACTTAACTCCGTGGACGCTGTAACTTAAGTGAAATAGAAAATCTGAAAACCGGTATTAGTGTTTCATTTCATCCAATCCCGTAACCCAAGCCCGCATAGTCAGGAACGTGACGTCAGGCACGTAACATTTGGTGTCAGAAGTGGGATTGGAGAAAAATGCCGCTAGTGCCGCTGGACGTAAGAGGAGTGAGTACCCGTTCAATGTCAGAAGCGCAGCGTGTGAGGGAAGAGGGTGCTGCAGCTCAAACCAGCGATGCAGAAGCCAAGCCTGTGCAGGTGGATCTTCTGCTACAGCTGCAGCAAATGATGGCAGAGCAAGCGCGCCGCCAAGAAGAGCAAGCGCGCCGCCAAGAAGAGCAAGCGCGCCGCCAAGAAGAGCAAGCGCGCCGCCAAGAAGATCAAGCGCGCTGTCAGGCAGAACAGCTACGGTAGCAAGCACACTGTCAGGCGGAGCAGCTACGGGAGCTGAAAGAGATGCATAAGGATTTCACGAAGGGACTGCAAAAGGCTGTCGAACGGGTACAAGAAGTGGAGGAAGGGTAAGGCAAGTTGAAACTTCGCGTCATGGCGATAGAGGAGAGACATGAAGAAGAGATCTCCAAAATCAAGCAGGAAGTGACAAACCCAAGCCCTTTGAAGAGCCGAAGCCGTCTTGCAGCCGTTTTTGACGCCCAAAATGCGGCCTTAAGCGCAACGAAAGGGCTCAAGATTCCCCATTACGACGGAACAACATCCTGGACTGCGTTCAAGCTACAGTTTGAGACACTTATGGAGGCTTAAGGTTGGACTTAGAAGGAAGCACAGTCAGCCCTTACCCTGGCTCTCCGTGATCAAGCGCTCTCAGTGCTGGAAGCTATCGGCGCAAGTGGGGATCTCAGCTTTAGTGCCCTCCTCGACGCACTTGAAGCACGTTTTGGAGACAGCCACCTCGAGCACGTGTACAGGGCGCAATTAAAAGAGCGTACTCAGCGTGCTAATGAGAGCCTACAGCAATGGTCCGTGGAAATCGAGAAACTTGTACGTCGAGCTTTCCGGTCGACTCCATCAATGATTGAAGGCACGCTTCTCCAAGCGTTCATTGACGGTATTCGGGACCCAGAAGTACGAGCTGCTGTTCATCTGGGCCATCACAAGATCATGAAAGAAGCTCTGGCCCATGCATTGGAAGTGGAAGCCGTGCGTGGCAACTCCCGTACCTTACGTCTGCGGGAAATGACGACAACGGAGCAGGTACCTCCCCGCCGTCGGAACTTCATGTGCTATGGATGTGGAGAGCGTGGGCACATACGGAGCGACTGCCCGAAGAAGATGAACCGCAAGGACGCGGCGGTCTCAACTTCTGACCAGCAGGGAAACTTAAATCCAGCCAGGGCTGCGGGGTGGGCGCCGGCTGGTAGTGGAACAACCCCAACAATCTACATCAAGCAAA